GCCCACCACAACGCCCGGCTATTTTTTGGTTGCAGCCATCATTGTTGTTTGGCGGGCCTAGGCTGGATTCGAACCCACCACCTTAGGTGTATGTGGCTGGCGCCTTAGCCACTTGAGCCACAGGTGCTGAGCCTTAATTTCTTTCAAAACATATTTACTGAGGAAACATTACCCTTTTATGATTTTATAAGTTATCTTTCACTTTCTCTTCAGAGTAAGGAGAAAATATTTTCCTTTTCAAGGCAGATTTTCTTTAGAAAATCCAACATAGGATGGCTCCTGTGGCTCAAAAGAGTAGGGTGCCGGCCCCATATGTTGGAGGTGGCGGGTTCAAACCCAGCCCCGGCGAAAAAACCGCAAAAAAAAAAAAAAAAGAAAATCCAACATTCATCCTGGCTCACCTAAGAGTCTAGTTTTTTAAAATAGGGCGCTTTAGTGAAGAGTCTAGAATGGTTAAAATAATAAGGTTTTTGTAGCTGTGAGTATGAGATAGAGGACAGCTATGGCTTTTTCATAAAATTCACTGGTCTCACCTCTCCCGGACTGCTTTTAGGTAGCATCACACAGATTGCCATCTCAGAAGAGAGCATGGAAGAAGCAGGGCTGGAATGGAACTCAGCTCTCACTGCTGCTGTCACCATGGCCACAGAGGAGGGTGTGAAGAAAGACTCAGAGGAAATTTCAGGTATTTTTCTTTGAGCCTCAGATATCTTGCACGGTTTTGTGATTCTTTTCTTTATGATTATGGACTTATGTACACAGAAGACCTCTTAATTACTTTGGTTGTTTTTTTCTTATGTATATACACACTAATCATAGCCACTAACATCTTACATTAATCTATACAATAGGTTGCAAAGTCACATTTTACATATGAAGAAATTGAGATTCCTAAAGATTTCCCAACTTGCCTAAGACCAGTCACACAACCAATAAATTGCAGAGCTGAACTCAGCTGTTGAACTCTGTAGCATGTAGTTCATGCTTTTTATCCTATCAAACTGTCTATAACTTGGCACATTTTTTTAGATAATCTGAGCTTCAGGACATTAGATGGAAAAATTAGGTAGCAGGTGTTTTAGAGGATAGTGGTTAATGATGATTCTTAGAAGGGACCAAGAGAAATTTCACATCATCCTCCATTCACTTGATTATTTTTAGTTGGCACTATTCCTAGATACTAGGTACATAGATGAAAAGACAGAGCAGAAAAGACAAAGTAGTTACAACCCTCAGGAAACTTAGCAGCCTCATTAATTCGTTTTTAGACTAAGGTGACCAGATTTTAATATCGGTAAAGTGGGACACCATTGATGGTGGGGGGTGTTCTTAATTAAAAATTTGGTCTAGGCTCGGCGCCTATAGCTCAACTGGCTAAGGCGCCAGCCACGTACACCTAAGGTGGC